TTTTGGCTTTGATTTTGGTGGGAAAAACGGCATGATTTTTTTTTCAAATCAAGAAATTAGTTATTTTTGGAAAGTAAACTGAGCATTTAAAGAATAATTTAACACTGTTTACTGTGACAACAGCGCATTTGAAACAGAACATTTTCGCGTTGTTTTAATTTCGTTTTTATGGACTTACTGCGAAATTAAAAACCACGCTGATATTTTCTACAGTAGACTAAAAAGACATGTTTCAAGAGAATATAGACCGATTTCTTAAAAATTGTTAGAAACAAAACCAATTTTTTTTACATAAAAGCCATTCGTACAGTAACAGCGAGGGACTTCCGCGATCGCGTCCATCGCTACGAACCGGTAGTCGATCCGCCGGCGCCCAATTCACGATCATTACGTGGCAAAATTTCAACTTTGTCTGGCGCTTAATTGAGGTGTAAAATACAAAGTTTTTGTGGCACTGGCGCCTAATTGAAGGTGGCGCTTAACTGAAGACAAATACGGTATATCGTTTAAAAGTACAGTTGTACATTGAATGACACAGTGATATAAAAGTATGGCCCAGGGGTATGGCTTCCTCTCATATTTTTGCATTTGGTGGCGCACTTTCGGCGAGAGTCGGAAATCCGGAAACAGTCAACCGTTTCAGGATAGGTGGGCGTGGCTACAGCACGGGAAATATCTCAAATTTACTTGGATATGAGTAATCATTTTCAGCAAAAAAATCAATAATTGCCCATTTCAGTGGGGCACAGATCTAAAATGGGAAGCGTGTGGGTGGGCATTACACAGGCACTTTAATCCAAAATTAAACAAAAAATTGATTATAGTAAATACTAGGTGTAAAATGTTGCACTAAAATTTGAGCAAGATTTATTTATTGCATTTAAAGCTGGAAATGTGATTTGAAAGTTCATACATGTTAGGTCTGTAATATGGTTTTAAAGTAAGTATAATCATGTTTCATCTTGTGAAGGAAAAAAAGGTGAATTCATATTTAATGTATACTGTTTCAGATGCTGGAGAGTATTGAAAACTTGGAAGACATGAAGGGACATTCGGTGAGGGAGTGGGTGTCTATGGCTGGGCCAAGGCTGGAAATTTATAACAGATTCAAGAATTTTCTACGTTCATTCGTGGATGACAAAGGTCACAACTTGTATCGAGAAAAGATTCGTCAAATGTGTGAAAGTAGGTATTTTTACTTTCCCTGTTTAGACAGATTTACCCTTTTCATTGGGAATAAGGAAATTATTGTAAAACGCTGTAATTTTGTGAGAGAATCATTTTCATTCATTCTATGTCTGAAAAATCACAAAGTATTGTTTCAAAGTTATTTCTCAAAATGTTGTTCACCCCTACTCTCAAGTTATGAAAATAGCAAACATTTCTGACTACTAAAATTGAACTGTTTACAGTAGCTACATGATCTGAACAAATTATACAAGATGTGCCTCCTTCTACAGTTAGTACGGTGGAATAAATCTACACTACAATTAAAGGACGATAGTTATCGATCCTTGCCGTTTAAAGTACACTGTCTGTTTACTTCACCCTTTGAACTTGCATAGATGACATTGGGAAAACTTGTATTTTATGCTTAGAGTTCATGAGGTCTAGTAAAAATGTTGTTCACCCCTACTCTCAAGTTATGAAAATAGCAAACATTTCTGACTACTAAAATTGAACTGTTTACAGTAGCTACATGATCTGAACAAATTATACAAGATGTGCCTCCTTCTACAGTTAGTACGGTGGAATAAATCTACACTACAATTAAAGGACGATAGTTATCGATCCTTGCCGTTTAAAGTACACTGTCTGTTTCCTCACCCTTTGAACTTGCATAGATGACATTGGGAAAACTTGTATTTTATGCTTAGAGTTCATGAGGTCTAGTAATATATTAAAATATAGTTACCAGTACTTCTCTAGTTTTTATGAATGGTAAAATACATTATCACAATTAAATTAAGCCGGATCAACCCTAGTGCTGGCAGTATTCTCATTTTAGATAATTTTCACAGGTAACAAAGAGTCCCTTGTAATTGATTACAACATGCTGGCTTCAGAAGAGCAGGTCTTGGCGTACTTCCTGCCCGAAGCGCCAGCTGAAATGCTGAAGATATTCGATGAGGCTGCCAAGGAGGTTGTGCTCTCCATGTTTCCAAACTATGATCGTATTGCAAAAGAGATTCATGTTCGAATTGCAGAGCTCCCTCTTGTAGAGGAATTAAGATCACTTCGGTAAGATAACCCATGTGGCAGCATCTTGTAAAGTTTCAGCTCAGTAACATCATAAAGAACAATATTGTTCTATTTCAGACTTCTGCTGTAAAACTTTTCTTCAGAGAACCTTGCATTTATCTTATTTTCAATATGATTGTCTTTCCACTTGCTAAACAAATTGAGGGGTATTTGAGGGGGGAGGTATTCAAGATTACTTTACAATCATTCTTACTGCACTGTTTCCTAGGCAACTGCATCTGAACCAGTTGATTCGTACCGGAGGGGTTGTGACCAGTTCTACAGGTATCCTGCCTCAACTCAGTATGATCAAATATGATTGTGTCAAGTGTAATTTTATCTTGGGTCCATTCCAACAAAATCAGAACCAAGAAGTCAAGCCTGGTTCCTGTCCAGAGTGTCAGTCGCCTGGTCCGTTCGAAATAAACATGGAACAGGTAAGCCGTGTATTCCGTGCATAATAATCACAGAAACTTTAAACAGTGTTCCACTAAAGATGCTACAAGATGTTTTTGTTTTGGACTGAGCATTTCTCTAATCTGTGTTTGTTTATAGACGATATATCAAAACTATCAGCGTATAACCATACAGGAAAGTCCCGGCAAAGTATCTGCTGGTCGATTACCCCGATCCAAAGATGCCATTTTGTTGGCAGATCTTGTAGATTGCTGTAAACCTGGAGATGAAATCGTAAGTCTTGCTTAGTTCTCTCTTTCTTTCAGTTGATTTGTAACATTCAGTCAGTCAATATACATTTGTATATTTCCAGCAGGACAGATTGATAAGCAATACAATGCACATACCAAATGTCATGCAACATTTCACTTTTCAGTCGTTTGTCTAATTGTAAAATTTTATATTTACCATTTTACTTTTGTTAAACACACAATTTGTCCATTTTTTTCCCAGCTAGAGTAAATGTATAAAATAATTTGGCTGTTAAGTTTTGATTAGAAAGCATTTAATGTATTCATGGTTCACTTACTTCTTAAATAAGAGACGTACAGTTTTTTGTGTTACGACAAGTGATTATTCATGAGTGATTTGCTTGGGCAAAATTTAGGCGACAGATGCTTTAAATAAAAACTCTACAAAAACAAAATTAATTTTTTATTTAAAAAAATGTGCAAAATTATTTCTCTACACATTTAAACAACTCCCATAATTTTGTTTAGAAGAGCTATTTTTCACTCTAGCCATTTTCAACAGGCTAGTCTTTGTGGTTGTTTAAAGCGGGAGGGTCGTCACCTGCGCACGCGCGGGAATTGAGTCCCAAGCACTGATAACGCGCTAAAAAGCAAAGGCTCATGGGTAGACGCTTGTTTGTAAACAATGACACACTATTGCCATCTGACGCTTGTGCAGGTGATGACTCCCCCGCTTTAATGTGATGTGGTGTGAAGTAAATGTAAAACCGGCATATTTTCACCAGCAAAATTTAACACATGGCATATCATTCTGAATACATTCAACAGGAATTAACAGGGACTTATCATAACAACTATGACGGTTCTCTCAATACATCAAATGGGTTTCCAGTATTTGCCACTGTCATTGAAGCCAACCACATTGTCAAGAAAGATGACAAGATGGCGGTTGGAACAATGACTGACGAGGATGTGAAAGCCATTATTGCACTTTCCAAAGATGAAAGAATTGGAGAGCGTGTAAGTAATCTTACCTTTTCCATTTTATATACATTTTTTTGGAATATCCTGTCGAGGTTATGATGGTTCACAAAATAGTTTAGTAATGAAACCCATATTTGCTCTATGAGATGTAAACCAACAGTTGCTTTTGTATCTGCTGCCGGGCATCAAGGCAATTCAATGACTCTTGAGAAATAAAAGCCCAGTTGGCTACCATGTTGACTGAATTTTTGGTGAGGCTGTGTTCAATAACCTTATGTTTTATGTCTTACCCTACACGATTGGCTGAAACATAAACCGGTAATAATAAGATGGTGATAACAAAAGTTAAAAGTTTAGAAATCGTGTTGTAGTCAGCTCCCGGCTCACAAAACAAAAATCATTTTTTTCCAGCTATGTAACGAGAGGGGTTAACCTCGTAATATAACAAAATTCTGCATTATTACTATTTTGTAAATTTTTGAGAAATGAAATGCAAAAAAGACTGATTCAAATAACTTTTTGACATGCAAGGAAATAAATACACAATATAAGGTTTCACAAATGTAAAACTATTCCTTTTGCTCATAATAAAGAGCATTAGTGAAAAAAGTTACCTTCCTTAGCTTGATTTTATTTATTATTTTTTTACAATTGTGCATTTTACAGATTTTTGCTAGTTGCGGACCATCCATATACGGGCATGAAGACATAAAGAGAGCTATAGCATTATCCATGTTTGGTGGAGAACCGAAAAATCCAGGCAAGTGTTAATCTCTATAGGATAATCCAAATATTTTAATCTTCTTTAATTTCATGTGTGACAAATTCTTGGTGAAATATAATTCTGTAGCAATGACAATTTTGTCACTGTGAAAAGTGGTGGTGTGTAGTTTGTGACAAAGGGATTGAGTTGTGGATGGAATTATACACAGACTTGGTTATTTTGAATTTGCCTAGAATGTAGTTGCTATAGTGTTATTTTCCCCTACGTTAATATCATTATCATCGTATTGCTTTTTCAGCTTTCAGAAAATATGTTGGTATGTAGAAGTTTTAAGGTTGTTCAGTTCTAACAGTGTTACACAACCTCAATTTACTTTTGCAGGCCAAAAACATAAAGTGCGTGGTGATATCAACATCTTGATTTGTGGTGACCCCGGTACAGCAAAGTCCCAGTTTTTGAAGTATGTGGAGAAGACTGCCTCACGGTGCGTCTTCACAACAGGACAGGGTGCATCTGCTGTGGGTTTGACGGCCTACGTACAGAGGAATCCAGTATCTAAAGAGTGGACTTTAGAAGCTGGTGCCTTGGTGTTAGCTGATAAAGGAGTCTGTCTCATTGACGAGTTTGACAAGGTACATCCTGATGTGGTCTTTAACCCATTGAGCACCATAATTATCCTATTTTGTCATAAGTGGACAGAATTTCTGATGGCTACAGTTTTGATCAAAATAATGGAAAAAATATGAAAAACATAATCAGGTTTTTAATTTATGTATGGTAACAACAGTTGACGCCTGGCCGTGACATGAGGGTGCTGTGCCCCTGTTCCCTTGTTTAAAAAAATCCCTGATAATTCAAATTAAGGTATTTTAATGCCATTCCATTTTCACGTAGATGAATGACTCTGATCGTACTAGTATACACGAAGCCATGGAACAACAGAGCATATCCATTTCAAAAGCTGGTATTGTGACGTCATTACAAGCCCGGTGTTCGATAATAGCAGCGGCCAATCCTATTGGAGGAAGATACAATCCATCACTTACTTTCTCGGAAAATGTAGGTAGTGCTATAAAAATCATTATGTATTTATCATTTATGAAGACTTTTGATTTGGACAAACACAATCTAAAACTAAGCCATATTTATAACTTGTGTTTTTAAAACGATTTAGCAAAATGCTATCTCACGCAATGAACATAATGAAGTTGGATTAAAATTGTCATAAACGTCTTCATTGTCATTTACAGGTTGATCTTACAGAGCCTATATTATCAAGATTTGACATCCTGTGTGTTGTCAGGGATACGGTTGACCCTGTAGAGGTAGGTACATTTGGCTTGTCCCAAGGTTTGTTATACAATTGGATGATAGCCAGGCGTGTAGTCGTTGCCAGACATAGTATTGTAGCATCAAGAGGTGTGGCAGCAGCCAGGCATAATATTCTGACGGCTAGGTGTGTATTATGGCGGCAGCCAGGCATAGTATGATGACGGCCAGGTATATGGTAGAGTGGGACCACACATACTATTTGCTGACGATCTCAATGATAAGGCAGACATATTGCTAGAAATACTAAGGGGAGTGGTATGGCTTCGTCTCTGGTTTTATAGTTACTTATGGGTGTCCATTAGAGTTTGGTGTTGTTGATGGTCAGAAACTGTTAACTGTTCATGGGAGATTGCACATAAATGAAATTTCATATATTTGCAAAGTATGCATCTTGTGATTGCAACTGGAACTTCATTGTACGTATCTTGATGAATGTTATGAAAATTGCAAACTCTTCTCTTTAATATTATTGTCCTATTTTCTGAAGCATTAGTGTGCTGTACACTTATTAGACTTTAATGTATGATTTTATCTTCAATACAGGATGAGTTACTTGCAAGATTTGTTGTTGACAGTCACGTTAAACATCACCCATCCAGTGATCCAAGCGATAAAGAATTACCGGTATGCCTTTCAGTTAATTTGAAGTTGTATTATTGAAATGTGGAATCTAACTAAGTTTGAATCTAATTGAATAACTGTTTGGTCTGTGTTCACAGACATTGGGAGCATTATATGGTGCAGAGCTGATCCCGCAAGATTTATTAAAAAAATATTTAATTTATGCCAAGGACAAAGTACATCCGAAACTGCATCAGATGGACCAAGACAAAATTGCCAAAATGTATTCTGATTTAAGAAGAGAATCAATGGTAAGTGGTAGTGCGCCCTCTAACAAATGATTTTATAGGGGTCCTTGGTGAAAATTTGCTTATATTATACAAAAATGACTTTTCCTATTTTCACACTTATGAAATGTTTATAAAACGTAAATTTCAACTATAGTAAAATGTTTTTCAAGATCATCATACTTGTGTATTAATTTTCTGTTGCATCCATGATGTGCAATTAATTAGCACAACTAGTTGCGTAATCGCAAATCTATGCGAGTCAATGACGATTCATATCGACTTACATGGCACAATAATAAAAAATAACATGTTTTTATCAAACACCACTAAAGTTAAAACAAAAACAGACAAATGTCCCATTTATTCAAATGATAATGAAGAATATTTTCCAATTTTCAGGCTACTGGTAGCATTCCAATCACTGTGAGGCACATAGAATCTATGATACGCATGGCTGAAGCTCATGCCAAGATGCACTTGAGGGGTCATGTCAATGAAGATGATGTCAATATGGCGATACGAGTTATGCTTGAAAGCTTCATAGATACGCAGAAATTCAGTGTTATGCGTAGTATGAGAAAGGTAATATATTATTAAACCTGTAAATGCCATTCTGGAACCATTTCTCAGTTTGCGTTTTGTGATTTGATTTAAAATGGTCGACTGGTGGCCATTTTGTTTTTTAGTATTCTTCCTGTTTCTCAGACACACAGATCTTGTTTAAATTTGGTACAAAGTCGAGGCATAATAAGTTGCATAATCCTCGTAGGTATTTTAAAATTTCAATAAAATTTTAGCTGCATTTTTGTCAAAAAACAAGAATCGCAATATCTAAAAATGTCATCGACCATTCCTCCAGCATGCCTATGCAGACTTTATTCAAACTTGATATGAGCGTCACATATACTGACATGTATTTGTTTTGTTATTTGAATCAAAATGTTACTGATCATTTCATGGACATTCTTTGATCGATTTTGTTGAAAGTACATGTGGGGACAAGGCATGTCACCAACCCACCATGGTGTGTACTCATGGTGGATAATTGATGATCATCTTTTAATTTTACAATTAATGCATCCTACCTGTTTCTTGTGCTGAAAGACAAAATGGTGTGAATATTTGTTATGATCAGTTTCAATGTTTATGTTGCTTTCTTTTATTGATATTCATATGAATAAAGCTCAGACCTGTTTACACTAATGCAATAAAATTAAACATATACAGTTTCATTGAGTAAATCCTCAAATCTAAGTCTATGTATTGCTTTTTCAAATAATTACAGATTCTTTTTTTTCCCACTGCAGAACTTTTCACGTTATTTGGGTTTCCGTCGAGACAACAATGAGTTGCTCCTGTTTGTTCTGAAACAACTTGTACAAGAGCATTCAAGCTTCCATCGTACTCGACATGGGGCTGATCAAGAGTATGTTGAGATATCTGAAAAAGATCTTGCGGAAAAGGTAACTATTTCATGTTTCTCCCTCACTCCTAGAATAATTATTGTCTGTTTCCTGTGCAGTTGTCTTGGCATTTGTCTTGTTTTACATTGAAATTAAAAATTCTTAAAGTCTATTCACTCCAATTTTTATATTAAACTAAACCTTTTCCCCATTCATGTCATTTTACCATGGAGGCTTTCTGCAGGTGATGAGTTCAATAAACTTTTTGATTTCCAAATCCACGCGTTTATAGAAATAAACATGTTTATTATATTCTTGCAGGCAAGACAGATCAACATCCACAACTTGGTTGGATTCTACGAAAGCGAAATCTTCCGCGCCCACAAGTTCACACACGACGCCAGGAAAAAACTTATCATTCAAACTTTATAGATAAATCTCTCAACACAAGCTATGTGTCTATACCCAATTATACATTTATATATATATATATTGTTGTTTTTCATTCGTAATTATCCATCATTATCTGTTTGTGTGACAGATTTGGTGCTTACTCACAAATACTGAAGTCATCTTATTAGTAATACCTAAATATATTCTGCACATGTTTAGTTGCAATCTCTCACCATTGTGATATCGCTCTTATGTGAAAATGACTTGTATCAGTCAAAGCTATTCAATTCATACAACACCTATGCACTGTTATATGCATAGGTACCCCAACACTCACTGCCAATTTTGACATGTGAAATTCAAATAGAATTTATTTATTCGTCATTCATTGTTTTCACTGTGCATCTGTATTATTTTTTTAATTAAACAATTGATATGTTCTGTAGAAAAGAGTATTTTTGTAAGTTTACAACAAAAGTGAAGGTAATAAATGTGAAGATGGCTATGTCTAAAGCCAATCGGTCGGCGTCTATTTTAATGTGTCTATTGGAATAGCATAGTACGGAAAATGCATGATTATGAACGATTTATTCGGCCGAGTTGGGACAAAATTTGAAAATTATAATTTCTTGTGTGTCAGTATGGCAATCAATTTTGATTCCTGTGAGCGAAGCAGACAGCACACATACCTGCAGATATCACAGTAATTTATTTGTAACTCTGACAATGAACGCAATTGCTGTATGTTTCAGATTTACGGAATTCAGCATATTTCCTGTGATTGAGGGAGTTTGTAATTTCATTGTTGAAATAGTGTTCTATGCCATCAGAACTTTCAGTCAGCACATAATATTGAAAATCGGGAGAGATGTTTTTAAAACAAAAGAAGAAAAACTCAGAATAGGGGAGGAAGTGTTCCTTATTTTATGTCCTGACAATTCAGGTTAGATGGATATATGTTTTTTTGACTCCTGTGTGAGAAGCACACAATGAGAGTCTTTGCTGTTAGTGTGTGTGTGTGTGTGTGTGTGTGTGTGTGTGTGTGCGTGCGTGCGTGTGTCCGTCCGTCTGTCAGTCTATTCCACTGATATCTCCAGAACCATACATCAGTTTTTGATGAAACTTTGTGCATAGATGCTCTGGGCCAATGATTATGTTTTGGTAGAAAACCATGCATATTAATATTTAATTTGTATGATAATTAGCTAATTTTTAGCTGTTCCATGACTATATTCCACTGATATCTAAAGAACCACTCATTGGATTTTGATAAAACTTGGTACATAGACGCTCTGAACTAATGCAGAGATTTGATTAGTTTTGGGTAAAAATCTGTGCATATTAATTACCTAATTTGCATAATAAGTCAATTTTTGGCTTTTCCTCTTGATATCTCGCGTACTAATCACATTTCAATGAAACACGATACATAGATGTCATAGGACACTGCACAGATCTGATAGTTTTTAGGGTACTGGTAATATCAGTACATATTAATTACCCAATTTGCATAATTAATTTTGAGCTTTTCAAGTGGTAGTCATCACATTTCAATGAAACTTGGTGAATAGATACTCTAGGACTATGCAGAGATCGATTGTTTTGGGGTAGATATTTGTGCATAATGACCTAATTTGCATAATAATTTAATTTTCAGCTTTTTCCACTGACATCTCGAGTACTAATCATCACATTTAAATTAATCTAGGACTATGCAAAGCCCCAATTAGTTTTTGGGAAATATTTATGCATATTAATCACCTAATTTACATTATTAACCAATTTTCAACTTTCATACTGATATTTCAAATACTGATCATCACATTTCAATAAGACTTGGTACATAAATGCTCTAGGGCAATTGACAAGCCTGATTAATTTTGGGTTAAATTCTGTTCATATCAATTCCCGAATTAGCATTTCAATGAAACTTGGTACATACCGTAGATGGTCTGTTACATTGAGTAGACCTTATTAGTTTTACACTCCAATCTGCACATATTAATTACCTGATTTGCATAATTAAATTTCAGCTAATAATTTTGAATTAATTTTTAATTCGTCTCCAATACTGTCAGCCACAAGAGTTCTTTATAAGCTTTCATTGATTTTTAATTGCATGAGGTGTAGATCCTGTATTAATGACCAAATCAGTTGGACTCAGGTTTCAAGTCCCGCCTGTTATCTTCTATTGATTGTGTCTAATGGAAGTGATCAGTTTTCTATTTTGAAATCTGACTTTATATTATAGCATTGGTCTCAAGTTGTGTTTACATTAAAATTGTTCCCGCTATGAAATGGCAAAATTGTTTGTTTGACTTAACATTGCATGCACTATGAATTTTCTATGGGATTATTCATATTAGCAGCAAAATAAGCATGTGCATACATAACCATAATTAACTCAATAGTCATATATAGAGATTTCAACAGAGTACTGTAACAATAGACATACAACAATATACATGGGACATACTGTGGAATACTTTATTTTCGCTGAAAAGGCTTTTTGGACGTTTTGAATGGAATACATTTTCACTGATTTTTGATGAGTTTATATAGGAAAAAATGTATATTCGCTGGATTTTATTTTCACAGAATCCTCCTTTCAGCGAAAATATTCTACAGTAGTTGATTTGCAAGTATATGTGGCTCAGAACAGAAATAAACCTGTTACATGAGATGAAATGGCAATTTATGTAAAAAGAATGACATATGGACCTCTAGGTTAAGACTGAGATTAAGACCAAGAAGCGATGTCAGTGATGGAAAAGAGGAAGCATATCTTGAACATATTGATAGCACTTATATAACAAATTGTATCTCGCATGTTATATTTTAAGTTATTCAAGTTAAAAAAACGTAGCATGTTACATTATCTTTAGTGGTTGCAGGCTCTTTTCGTTGTCAGTGTTGCAGAATTGTACACGTTAGATTTGGACTTTTGGTCTATAACGTATATACACAATAGTTATTAATATAACAAATTAATATTAGGTATAATCGACAGTCTATGGTGAGTGTATTAGCTGTGAAATGACCTTATCGCTCCTAAATATGAAAACAAAGGTACTTTATTTAACCATGGAGATCAATAAATTAACAAAATGCATCTGGCAAAATAAATCGAACCTACTAGTAATTTGAACACTACATAACAAACGGGTGACAAATAGATAAAAGTAAATAAATATAACGATATAATCGTGGCACAATTTGTGTCCGATATACAAGTTGTTTGGTTGTGAATGACTGTCTCTAGTATATTGTTTCAACATAGGTTTCATTATTAAATACTAACTGTCGTACATTTCATAATTTCATGTTTTTGTCACTTCTCAAAAGAGACCGAAAAAATACTATTTTTTTTTAAAAATGGAATTATTTTGTCCATGTTTATTTCATTTAAAGCTGGTTGAACGCGATAATGAATAATGATGTATTAGTGAATATTGTTGATAGGATGCATCATATGTAATACGCATAAGATTAAACTAAACGTAATTCGAAAACGGGGATTTTTAATTTCACCTTCCTTGGTTCGTTCATACGAGCCTTGGCCGATTTCATTCAAACTTCACACGGATCATACCACATCATACATATGCACATATATTTGTTTCATGATTCAGGAAGGCCGAAAGGCGGCCATTTTAGTGCTAAATTTTCATCAAAATCAATCATTTCTGTAGTTATCAAACTAGAACTTGTTCGTGTATGTACATATTTCATTCACATTTGCACCATTATTACATTGGACATGGTGAGACCTTAATACATGTCATTTTTTCTCAGATCAGATTAAAACAAATTTAAATGACTGACTTTAACTACTGCTGATCCAGGGTCATATATCTCTAACAAGCCTTGGACGATCTCATTCAACACAATAATACACAAATACCGGTATACAGTTTGTATCATATCTGTCATGTGAGTATCAGTCATAAATAAATAGTAAAGACGTGAGTATTGGCCATCATACAACCGGCAACCGACAGTATTAACGCTGGATTGTTGTAATCTACCATCATCCTAACCACGCGAATCTTACACTAGGTCATTGTTTCTTTCTTTCTTCTGAAATCGTTCTTTTCATAACCAATCTTTTTTTGTGATTTGAACAAATATTGCCGACTGGGTTCCACGCCATTTTCTCTGAAAAGAAACAAAACACACTTTTTCTGTTTAATCTTAGTACATAGGATATCAGCAGATACGTCTTTTCCAACATTTTTGTTGTGATTGATTCAATATGGCCGACTGACAGCCAATTTTTTTTGTGATTTGACCAGATATGGTCAAGATTTCTGAGTAAGGAATTCTCCGATAATTATTGAGGTGTTTGCTATAGACCGATATTAGATTGTTATCGGCCGGGCTGGATCATAGTCAAAATATCTGAGTTCGGGAATTTTCCGATATTTATCAAACTTTTACATTGGCATTAGACGGAATGGGTTTGGTTCATAGTCATGAATTTTGGGGTTGGGAATCAGTATATCTGACACATTTTATAATGATCTAAAATCCGATAATAAAAATAATACGCAATATCCCGCCATCATGGTTCCAGGCATGCCAACGCTTATTGTTCGAGGCTGAGTTCGGACAGTTAATGGTACTTTTCATGAATATTTAATTCCCAAACTTGATTTTATCTTATTTCCGGTAAATCCTAAAAACATGAAGCAAACTCGATCGGAGACGGGGCAGTTGGTGCAAATCCCTCAATGACTAAGTGTAGTTTATAGACTTGCTGGCATGGCGACAAACAAGAGAAAACGTGGGTAAAACTTCAACAAGAACAAAATAAATAGGGTAATGTCAGGCGAAATCTGGAGCTACGTAACCACAACTACAAGGTTGATTTAAAGGGCGGCAGTCGACTTACCGCGTCCTGTTCGATATGGGACTCATAGCGACGTATACAACGCGTATAAAATACATTGTTTATTTACATGAAATTCGAACACGCGCTGCGCGACGACCACCGCGCTTTAAGATTATAAAGTAAATGTTTTATTTATGGAATGGAAGTGCGTTCTTCTATAGTTACTGTATATTAGTACTGCTGTCTGGTTTGAACAATGGTGATCGCCTCCATGCATATGGACTAGCCATACGTCAAGGCTGCACAATGACACTCCGAGTTCATGGTGTCAGACAGGGGACAACCCATGGTCATCACCATAAGTTCGTATGAATGTCAACGTACCCTTGCACTTCTAGGTGACGACCTCTACGTATACACACTACGGAGAAAACACGGCGTGTTTATGTCTATGATAATCGGGACCAACTATTTAATTGTAGCAGATCTGAATCCAGAAAACTATACGTGAACGTTTTCATAAATGAATGGCGATTTGTTTTGTGAAAAAAAGTCGCAGTTGGTCTATCAGGTAAGTAATTGAGATACTCACCGTAACCGTTTGTGTTGGCAGTGTCATATTTACTAGTCATGGGGACGGTGTTTGAGCGAAATGGTGTATATAGTTTCTAACTGTATAGATTTATTTTAATTATGGGGTTCCCACGTGATGAAAACTGTGGAAAGGTGGGATGGCTGAAGAGAGAAAAAAAAACGTTTGCACGATGACTTCGAAAACAATTGGGAAAACAAATTTCTCCACCCCCATTAATAAAATGGGTGATCCCTTCATGGACGTTGCGTCATGAATGATCGTGCGTGTATTGGTAATTAGTCATCACACATTCAGTCGAAGAGTTGTGTTGCTTCTGACGTAAACGTGCTACTCTTTATAACACACAGGGAATAGTGTTTTATAGGTCAGTCCAGACGAGGTGGTGTCGCGGATGGGACTATGGCCTTAAGTGAGCATTGTCATGAACTCCACAGTCACAGGGTATGCGTAATCACAGGTGCCAATACCGGAATAGGCTTCGAATCGGCCAAGATTATGGCGGAAATGGGGTATGATGTCATTCTGGCGTGTCGTAGCAAAACACGAGGGGAGGACGCGATTCGAAGATTGAACACGATGATCCCAGACGCCAGGTGCCAGTTTATAAAGGTGAGTTGACCTACTTACCAGTGACTACGTATACGTGCGAGCCCGAGCTCACACTCAGTACGGTACAGTGCGTGTACCGTCCCACGTGCAACAGAGACCCCGTCATTGTAGATAATTTACAATGGTGGTAGAATTATTCCTTGGTTGAATACGAGACAGTCAAAAATGTTTGTCAATTGCCACGTTGATCAAACGTAAAGTGTTGCATTGTTATCGATTGTGTGTGCTTGACAATATTTCGAGATATCCGAAATGACCCCGTTATATTACACACCATAGCATTGAATCAGTATTACTGTATCACGAACCTTGACCTTTTTGTTTCAATCAATAACAATTACATTAACAGTTCTTCAAGGATATCACGGAGAATCCAGTTTATGTGGCAGCTTTATTGTTATGCAGTTCTGTACTTAATCGCGTGTCTGTTTGCATATCATAATATATTTTTCTTTGGTTATATCTTCTATGTATAACAGTATAAATGAAGCACGGTATTTCACGCACAGCTATTGTGTTTTCTCCCCGAAAACGATGTGCAAGGCGTTGAAACAAAATGAAAATCGAAAAACAATCTTAGTTTCACATGAAAACGCTCAGCGTGTTCGAATATTTGGCGTTAATACATTTTACCTATGTCACTATCCCAGCATATCCTGTTTTCAATCCAATGCAAACTGTGCTGGTAGTTAGTTGTTTGTTTACTCGGAAACTTCTAAAAAACGTTGTCAATCAAACTATACATAACAGTCATTTAATGAGACAATACCCAAGGTGATTCTAAGGTAGAAATGCCCAGGACGGAAGCGGTGGTGATGCCCTAAACCACATGCACGTTATCCAATGGTGATATCGTATCAATACATTCCTTTTTTAATATTGTGTTTTGATTATTACTGCAACATGACCGCCAGGTAAAGTACATTGCAAGTACAATGTAGAAAATATATATAGGTATATAATTGTTTCAGCCTCAGTCCACAGACAGAATTTTAATCGACAGTAATTTGCATATTGTATGGCGTGTTCATTGCAACGTACGTGTTTTATGTAACCCATTTTATGCAGAGCAAGATTGTATGTACGCAGAACACTTGAAGTCAGTGCGAAGCTACTTATAAGACTGTGCATGATCGGCTGCACAATGCTGACATCTAAACGTCAGACCAATCAGAGAGTAGCTTTTTTTGTCCCCTTTTTCAAAAGGGACACCCGTTGAATAATAGCAGAGACAATGCACATCGTCGGACAAACAATTAGTTTGTTTCGGTCATGGAATTGTTTCAGCGATGTTCTGTTAGAATGACATGCATGATGCCAAAACCACCAATTTAGGGAATTCCGTGAAATAAATAAAGACCATTAAAATAGTACTGTGGCGTCACATGTGTGGTTTTAAAAGGCCCCATGCGGCGACAAATTGCAAGTTACGTTGATAATTCACGTAGTATATGAATTGTGTTTGGACAAAATAGGTACTAGTAATTCGGGCTCTGTACAAATTAAAAACATTTTCCCAGCTGATCCTTTGTAAGTGAATTTTGTTACCTCTTCATTTTAGTGTGATCTTGCTTCTTTGGAGTCCATTCAAAATTTTGTCGATGAGTTTCACGCAACGGGGAAACCTCTACACGTACTTTGCAATAACGCTGGGTTGACAACACAGATGATCGGCCGTCTTGAAACGGACGACGGCTTCGAAATGACGATGGGCGTCAACCATCTTGGTGAGTATTTGTAAAGTTCGAACGGCCGGGGAATGGAGTTAGTTTCGGATAAAAACTTTCCAATGTACCCCTTACCCGATCGTAAAGACTCCAGCCTCCCAATTCAGTTGCATATGCGCCTGTAGTAGATAACCATAAGGTCTCTCAAGAGGGTCATATACAATTAATTTGAAGGGCAAGTGAGGGCAGGGGCTGCGTTAGAATTATGATTAGAAATGCGGTACATTGGAAAGTCTTTCCGGTTTCTGTGGCAAAATACAGTTAAATTTAAAAAAAAAAGTTTAGCCATCTGTGAATATATTTGGACGTACAAGTGTCGGTGAACGAAATGACGTATCACGTTATGCGTGATTCGGAATCAAACTTGTCTATAAGATAAAAAAAAAAAAAGATGAATTTTCGATACGCACATAATTGTGTCCAAAAAATGTGTGTTCAGCCACAAAGTGAAATTTAATTTAGATTTGGTGTCATTTGGATGCTGTTTGGTATAAAACTATAGGAGTTAATGCAAGGGAAGAGGTCACTACGTAATAACATCGTCATATCATTATATAAGAACGAGCATCCAGAACAACATTCTCATAACATCCCCTTTCCGTGTTTCTGTTGAAATTAAGCAATGAACTTAAATCCCTGAGAATTCGACCAGGTATGAATTTAGACAAACACTACCAAGAGTGTTCTGAATACAATGATATTTACAAACTAAATATATTACCAAGTATCCGTGTTATATAAAATGTATGAGTGACCATTTCATCATTTTTTTTTCAAACAGGTCATTTTCTATTAACACATTTATTATTGGACGATTTAAAAAGAACAGCTAAGGACTGTGGAGAAGCCAGGGTTATTGTTACTACTTCCAAACTTCACGATCCCGAGAGCATGGGCGGAAGAAAAGGTAATCTCAGTGTTCTATAAATACGTGATTAGACTAACTCCAAGTCCAATTAGGATACTGAATACATAAATGAAAACAGGATTTTCAGCAAACAACCCTTGATTCCGCGACCATTCCACAAAACCCCTCTAATAAAACCTAAACTGGTCACCCAATTTCTAAGACACGTTATGTCATATATATATATATTACCTGGCCTTTTTTTTGGTCAGAGTCTTAAAATATGTACGAATAAATTAGTCTATTACACCTCCGACCTGTTTGTATGAGATTACACTAAAATCAGTCCAATTAAGTCAACGAATTTAGGCCAGACCAATGGTTTGTTATCACAGCTTTAGTGAGTTACGGTTGTAATTTTAGGAATGTTCAAATGATTTCGTCACGTCCATTTTTGTTCTGAAGTTTATGAACTTAGAGAAAACAATCTCATACCATCTTTCCTGGGTTTTATGGATCGACAAATCAAACACGAACTAAATAACTTGGGAAACATTGACTTGGTGCGAACTAGACAACTTTACCAGCGGTTGGTGTATAGCTTTTCTTGTGTTAGTCGGTCTTTGACAAATTTAAAGACACCAGATGTTAGTAGCGGAAATGACTGAAATGTCATAATAGTGATAGGCACACAACAGTCGACATGATTCAACCATGGCCCTAACTCATCTAAGATGAGATGTCAAAGCGCCGTTTATGTTCAATTTTTCTTTATATTCCAGGTCCCAAAGCCCATATGGATTTTCAAAACTTACAACTAGACAAACAGGGTACGTTCAGCGGTGTACTAGCATACAAGAACGCTAAATTAGCAAACGTCCTATTTACATACGAACTAGCGAGACGACTGCATGGAACTGGCGTAACGTGTAACTGTTTCCATCCAGGTAAGATTACCGTTGTACATCATTGCACTGTGTTGACTGTTACATTACTTTACAATGCATACGAACACAGTGCCTTGGTAGAGGGACTATGACACCACAGCTATTTGGGCATTCAAGTTGTAAACGAAACACAGAATGACAAACTACGGTTGGATTAGGCGTATGGGGATGGCATCGTCTGATTGCACGGTTTCATTCTGTTCCCCATAAATAAATTGATGCATTAACTTTAAGCTGGAATATTATAATACCTTGGAAATTCAAGATGAGACTAGGTGCAGGTGCTTAGGCTGTAGTTTTTTTTTTGTTTTTTTTTCGCTACATGTGATTATTTTTCTAGTCGTGTGCACGTGCCAGTGGTTACCATCAACGGATGAAATTACGAAACGAAAAAGAAATGTAAAGCGAACCAAAGGTCACAACCACGGCAACTAGACAAGTGCACTTTTAACGTTAACTTTTAACGGGGTTTGAATAAGGACTGCGACATAAGCAGAGTTCGTGGTGCATGCGCATTAGAGACGTGCTTACCCAGAACGCCGTACAATGTAACGCACTCAGTTTGGGAAATAATTTGTTCATTACGGCAATAAAGGTTGTTATGTCAAGATATTTTTTCTCTTTACTACAGGGTTTATTGCAACGACTGAATTGTTCAGACATTTCGGGTGGCCATTCAAAGCTATGATGTATTTACTCTCTCCGTTATTGAGATGGTTCGGGGCGATTCGTTCGCTACAGCATGGCGGAGAAATGGTGTCATTCCTCGCGACAGATCCAAGTCTCAAAGGTATAAACCTCAAAAGTACAATATCTACTTGTTTTCAAATATAATACAAAAAAAATACAACAAGCCAGTGGATGATCAAAAGAATATACAACAAGCCCGTTGTGCACCAAGTACTATTATAAGATATAGCTGGTTCGTAAAACAGTCAAATGATAAAAATCAACGGGCATTTTAAAACGTTTTCGATCGAGCATGACAAAAAACAAGTTAGTATGAATAATTCAGATTTATCATTACTTTGTTGTGCTCATGAAATCAAATCAAATCCTGTCATGTAATTTATCATACCGATTTTAATAGGAGTCAGTGGTAAATACTTTGAAAACTTTAGAGAAGAATCAAGTTCGACTGAGTCGTATGATGAAAATGTGGCAACGAAATTATGGAAGATCAGTGAAGAATTGGTTAAACTGGAAGACAAGCGGAAAATATGAATTGCGTAGCGTCAGCAAGCTTTTAAGAGGTTGACTAAAAGAGCGCCACCTAGCGGTAACGATATTGTCCTCATCGGACATCGGTCGGCGTGAAAGATATTTACGGTACACAAGTTCTTTACTGGATCCAATCCATCATGCTACTCAAACATATACAGTTCATATTTTTTTACATAGTTATTCTCCTACAGAAATATAACAGATTATTTAAAGATTTTATGAAGGCTTGATTATACAAAACAATTTCTTTATTTACCAGGGAGTGTAGCTTAAACTCAAAACAACCCCAAAAATGTTTGGAATAGGAATTTTATACATTTAATTAACTCAACACCCACCTGCCAGACAGGGTTCATACAATTGTTATCCTATTTGAATTTATATTTTTTAGCATTTAAATTTGGTACATGCCTGTCATGCAAGTAGCATTATCTGTATAATTGGTGGCATATATTTAATACTGGACTTGACAGTAATGAAAAACTGTGGTGACAACTCACACTTTTTTGCAAAGGATGCATATGTAATAATGTTACTTGTTTGTATTTTGAAAACAACTTTCTTAATAAACTGTTTTTGTGTTCTTAACGTTTGTGGCAGTTTCATAGATTCTTGTGATGGCGGTGATACTACAGCTCAAATATATCATGTTTATATGTATATTTAATACAATTTATTATTTTCATTATTTTGTGTTAATCTATTAATCAATAGATTATTTTCTGAGGAAGAACACTCGCTAGTTACGTCCATTTTCAAATGCAATATGGAGGTTCATGAATACATAGCATTATGATGTACCATGAACTGAAACACTTATAATTTTCATCCATATTGCATCTTACATTACTTTCACAGTTACTTCAAATGTGCTTCAGAGATTAAATGAATTGAAATGTCTCACCTGTTCATTATCCTTCCTATTTTCAAAATAATTGCTCTTTTACAATAAATTTTGTACAGTCTGAGATTATTGCTATGGCTTTATCGGGTAGGATATTAAGGTTTGATTTTGATGGATTTCCGGACATACATGTATGTACATTCATTTTATTTCAGTGACAATGGTTTCTAATTCCATAAGTTAAATGAGAATCAATGAGCAACAACAGTTGATGCAAGCACAACAAGATATTTGTATTTTATTTCAACTTTCTAATATTAATTAATGTTCAAATTTTCCTAGATGTCAGATTTTACATGCCAAATCTGTGACCATTATGGATCGATGAGATTAGAATAAGACTTTGAAGAAATAAAACAACTTGATGGATACACATTTAGTTCATAAAACACCTCATATGATTTACAGTATTACTCAATAATTCACATTTCCAGAATTAAAACATAGCATAAATAATACAACATTGCCCATTGAAAATCTAGATTATATTAACAAATGGATGAATGGATGCAAACTAATGATAAAAAAATATACAGGTATTCTTAGCATGGCAAAAAAGAGTATGAAATTCCGAAACAATGCAATGTATCTAAACATTTACTGCAAAAAATACTGGCAAAAATTTGTGTAAACAATTCTGACCAAAAATGGACAAGAACTATGAATTCATCATAAAAAAATAAAAATAAATAATCATTTTCCTCAGATACTACTACACGTAATAATCAATATGTCCCTTAGAATATTATAACGTGATTGAAAAACATGAATTATTATATGTACTGTGTTAATCTCAGCATTTCTTATAAAAGAATATAACATGAATTTATATATGAATATTACATTAAAATCACTGACTATTTTTTTTTATCACATGGAAATACAAATTTTGGTTGACTGTAAACTTTCAACAGTTTGTGATGTATATTTTAGAACCAAATTAGGGCCTTTCTCTAGATGATAAATAAATTTATTAGAGTGATACCTACATTATTTACGGTGGAGCAGCATATCAAACCAACATTTTGTAAGGAAAATACTAGGTGTGTTTTTCAATTTATACTACATCTACTGTATTAATCTCAATGTCCCTTAGAAAATAATGTAACATGAATTGTATAAATGTTTCGAAAAATTAATAGAATGGCAACACATATAAGCACAATTTTCAAGAAAAATACTAGCCACTGTGTTCCTCCATTAATATATGTACTAACAGGATCTACTGTATCAATGTATCTTACAGAATACAATGTAATATAACATGAATTGTATAGAAGTTTCTAAATTATAGTACAGTAATTTATGTAAGCAGAATAAAAAAAACTATTGTAATTTAAAAAAGGCAGGAGAACTACATTCTCATAATAAAAACACACTTGATCTACATCTAATTGACAAATCTTGGAGAGCATAACACTAATTTATTTCACCCAAGTTTTACTTCCCATCTTGAAAATTGCACCAAAATTGAACTTGGTTGACATTGTGATTGAGAAGATTCTAAATTTGAAGATCATCAAATAAAAAAATTTTGAGTTATTGTAAGGTAATTTTAAGAGAAATTTAACCAATATCTTGAAAAATATATATCTAACATGGACCATAATCGAGATAGAACACATACTTTAACCTTAAGTTAAATTGACTAAGTCCTACAAAAATCAAGCTGTAGCCTCTAATATATACTGGTAGTAGTATTAAAGTGGTACTTCGAAATTATTCATATAGCAATAATGAGGTCTTGGGAATATTATGTGAAATGTGTAATAGCATGAAAATTACAGAAAATTTTTGCAAACTCCACGGATTCACTTGTGTAATGAATTGTTGCACGCCAAGTCTTTGTGAATCCATGTACATTGCAACACTATTAACAGTAACTGAGTTGTAATTTTGAGTAAACTATTAATTTGGTAGCCGAAATGTATGTCAACATTTGGAAATCATTGAAAAATGGACATTTAAAAACAACTTTTCCATAATTTGCACAATTCTAATATTGCACATAATTGTCCCAAGACCCCATTGAACGATCGATGGCAGAGTACAACTCAACTTCAATTATTAGATTATTTTTTATGCCACGATGGCAAAAATCCAAAACGTTTATGTTCTTTCTTTTTTGGACCAATGTTGATTGTGGTGTTATTTCCACCCAGGACCACAAAATTCCCTTTTCCAGAAACCTCGGCATAATTGGTGGTACTTGTCTTTTGTGAACTTTGGGTCATCATAACATTGGAGTTGCTGCCAGAGGACGCAGCCTGAGCAGGGCTACCAGAACTAGAGTGTTCCTCTCGATGCTGCTCTACAGACAATATCTCGGCTTTTCCACTGGCATCCTCTTGCACACCATGGTTCATTGTCTCACTCTCTGTGATGGTTGGGATTACGGTAGCATCTAACTTTTCAACCAAATGTGGGTATGGTTCAATTAAAGCTGTGCGAAACGCCACATAAGCATTGTCCTTGGAAGATTTCTCAAGCATGTTCAGTAATTTGGAAACTCTGTCCTGGTTAGTTTTCTCTGCTTTAATTCGTTCGTCATCGTCGGGATCAAACACAAAACTAGCAATCAGGTGATTAAGTACATATTTCACATCCAAGTCTCTTACTATCTCCACACGATTGACTCGAAGACGGTGAATATCCTCCGCATTCATGACAACTGCTGTTATTGCTTTCACGTAGAATGAACACAACAGTTCAGTTCACAGGATATAACTATCTAACTCGGAATAGGATGACGGAATCCTTCTAATGCGTAAATAACACAGTGCTGACTAATAATTGGGTAATTTCTCGATGATCACCGTTTCCGTGAAACAAGGATACTAAATAACAATTTTTATTAACACTTACACATTCCACAGAGGGATTGGCAATATTTACAAAAGTTTAAAGATGACCATGGCAGTGATATGACATTTCAAACCGGAAAACCATTTTTCTTGAAAGCTAAAATAAATTTATAACAAATATATTGTTATTATATATATAGTTCGATATATATTATATGGTCGATATATTCAGCCAATATTGTCAGCAACATCACAGTGTAGAGGACTGTGGCTACATGTCCATCATTCGATTACGTCATCATCAGAATCTCCCCAGCCCCAAAATTCATTGGCGATAAAGTTGTACATACCTGAGATTAACATTCTTAGTAGCTTTCAGTAGTATTAACGATTCAGTTACAATACACGCTAGGTTAATATATTCGTCTTCGGCTTCACGGCGACCCAACATCCGTTTCTGCGCAATCACGTTGAAGTCTCGCAGAACACAGGTTTATTTGTTCTCAAAATCGCTCGTTCCGATAACTGTTCACAGTAAAATTCTTAACAATCTTGAGATCATCGAATTTCAGAGCAACATTTAAATACGCTGCATTAGGCTGAATAAAAAGAATCGCAAATAACAGAGTCACTTCCGTATATGCGCAGATGACAATTCTCGTGAAATCTCGTTTGTTTATTTTGCTTTTGCCTGAGTCATTCGGGGTCATGACCTCGCTGACTGTAAATATTGTCTGCAGAATGTGGCGGGGCTAAGTTGTGATGTCACAATGAAACTCCGTATAAGACTTCATAGAAGAACAGAAAAAATCGATATAAGTGACGAGGAACCAACGGTACGGAATCTGAACGATGCCGTCGCTGTCGTTTTTGGGTAAGTTTCCTGGATCATGCGACGATATTCAAGTTGAAAAGTGAAACAACGTGCTCAAGTACAGTGTAATGAAACAGAACTTTTTACACTAATGACGTGCTCTCCACTTCTTCATCCCTTGAATTTGGATAGTCCGCTCCTAGTACATATGCAAGTACTGTAATATGTTAGCTATTTTCACCAATTACCTTGGGTGGGTCATTTAAGTTCAAGGTCAGACTGACAGCATGTGTCAAAATAAGCCACATTTTTATCATGCAATAAATGTACTTGTAATAGACCAAATGCAGCCTACTTTTAGATTGCAGATAGGATCATTCAATACAAGTCTAAACGGAAGGGATCCTCTTATAGGGGATGAAACCAAACTGTTGAAAGATTATGACATTGTATCAGGGAACCTGATAAGAGTTCTTTTGAATGCTGACGCAGCTGAAGCTGCAGATCTTTTACATCATCACCACCACCAGCAGCAACAACAACAACAACAACAACAACAACAACAGCAGCAGCATCATCAGTACAATGAACCACAACAATCTCAAAGTACAGAGAGCACAGCTGAAGGACTCAGTGATGGAATACAGAAAGCTGAAATCTGTTCAGCTAATGCTGCTGTTGCTATGGAAACAGAGGAAAGTAGTGTAGCTGATTTATCTGAACCAATGTTGTGTCGAGATGCATCAAGTGATGCAGTGCCATTGCGATTACATGCATTATTTACAGAAACTCATGCAATGAATGCAAATGAAGCTCTGTGTATCGTCTTAAATGTACTCATGCTGGAAACTGGATATTGTGCTAAAGTAAGTTAGTTTTTATTCAAAAAATAACATTTTGAACAGGTTTCATGAAGGTGTGAATTTGTTTTATGGACATTTATAAATACATGTACTTATAAAACATTTATTCTGAAAGATCCTTGCGCTTCATTCAAATCCATGCCTTCATTGGTTGTAGAATGCCCATTACCCATGAGTCTTTGAGTTTTTTTTTAATCATTGCCGGATTTACTGAATGCACAAGATTGGCAAAATGCCAAAATATGATTTCTTTATTACTTTATTGGAAGAGGTGTTAATTTTGATTTCACGGTGTGTTTAATTATTTCTAGGTACACACATCTTCAAATCAAGAAAAAGAACAGGAGATAACTAGTGTCATAGAAACAGAAAATGTTGGTACCAGTACTACTGATGAGTCGGTGAGCATTGATGCAACACTTGCTATGCCTGTTGACTGGAAAAGACCTGGAGCTTATCGATTGACATATACCCATCCTGCTTGTGAGGGGGCTATTTGCACTATCACGTGTGTTCCATTGGGAAATATTGTTATGGTACATGGTAAATACAAACAATCTGTTTATACATGACATAGTTACATTTTACATTCAATGGTACATTTAAGGGTTAACAACCTTTTATAGTTAAATTGTTAGTCAAATCTGTGTTAGTGACCACCTTTATATAAAAACCGCCTGCCCATAATAATCTCATTTGTACAATTCCACTGCAATATAAATGTAAATGAATACATATGTACCAGGAAATAAAGTCCAATATAACCAGTGACTGCCATTTTGCTACTTAATTTGTGTATAAAGGTTTAATTGATGGAAAATAATTGCATGTTTAGTGTTTTACACTAGTCTCTATATAGCGTTGAAACCATAATAAGTCATATGTGTGTTTTGATATTGATAATTTTTATATATTTATTGATCTATGTGATTTGTTTCAATTTAATTCCGAGTTATGTGTTTATAGATGTTATACATAATTATTCCGCTCCAGTTTGTATAGAAATCAATCAAAAACATTCTATCTTTCCCTTCTGGCTGATATTCCATTATTAAATTAGTATGTAGTCACTGATTGGTTGACCTCCGTCTGCATGGAAAACGCCATAATGTTCCATTCCCCTTTTTAAAAGTTAAACGGTAGTTCTGTTCTAGTTTTGGTCCGTGCTCAACTGTGCAGGGATTGAAATAGAATTTTTTCCATGCATGCATAGTGTGCATGTTGAATTTGAAATTTACTGCACTAACATGTGAAATGCACTACTTTTAAAGTGTAAATAAAATTTACGGGTTCTCGATTGATGCAATCACGAAAAAATTGTTCACAATGTTGGTTGAACTTAATTTAGGCTTAGTGAATATAATGAGAAAATGTTGTTTCTACATGCACAGCATGCACATTATATTTTGAGTTTACTTGCACTAGCTAATAATCTATGTGCATAGTGCAGTGTGCACATTATATTTTGAGTTTACTTGCACTAGCTAATAATCTATGTGCATAGTGCAGTGTGCACCAGGGTATTTCAATCCCTGCTGTGTCAGTTAGTTTAAATACTATGGTTGGTCACTACACATAGGTTGACTTTAACACTTTTTTTTGGTTAAGTATTTGCTCTATTGCTAAAACTGTATACACCTACATTTTAGCTTTGTTAGCACTAGTCTGTCTGTGTAAAATTGGTGTTCTTGAAAAATAAACATATACTAGAGGCTCGAATAAAGCAAAACCACCAACCTGTAATTAAGATATCTTCCATAGAAAGTAGAATGTATAAATCAGAGTTTGAATTTTCGAGAGACACCAACAACAATTAGCAGAATGCAGTATTTGGTTTCCCTCAGTGACGATGACAATATTTGTTTATATCATCTCTAAGGCACTTTTATCAGATTTGGATTTGAAGTTGGGTGCCCTCTAGGTTTAAAGTTCTTGAATTATATTTATAGATCTGTAAATGGGAATATTGATAAAATACATTTATTTCCATTTTTGACCTATTAACCAACCTACGTGTTTGGACTAAGCCCCCAAAATCAATGAATATATTCTAATTTTCTGTCAAGTGAAATTGAAAGATAGATTGCCTTGTTCATTTCCAATTTATGTATTACCGGTATTTGTAGTGTTTCTTGCATAGAGTCTTGTTTATTTATTTATTTATTTTTTTTAATAAAATAAAATATGGGAGTGTATGAATGGCGAAAGCCTGGTCACCAGGAAATAATCAAGAAACTTGTGACCCTTGCAAGGGTTCTCTTGCTATAATATTACTATTAATGAGCATTTCAATGACATCACAGGATTTGATGGGCGGAGCAGGAATACATTCGCATTCTCCGAAGATGATTGTGAATAGCGGGCAAGTGATCACTAGCACACTAAAAAAAACAAGTTTCGTAACTGTTGTATCACAAAGAAGCATTTGCATTGTATGTTGGTCAAAAATACAGAAATCGGATAACTGAGAAGACTGTTTAAAGCTGGCTTGATTGGTTGAATATTATTGAACCTGTCAATCATTTGCATCACACGCTGAACCTAGACTAGTGACAACCATCACCAGTGTCACAATAGGGTGTCTACAAAGGTCACAAGTCCCTTGTTTATTTCACAGAATTTACATTTACACACTCGCTAGTTTTTATTTTATTAATAAAACCACCAAAAATTAAATAAGAGTCAAAGTGTTTCCATGAAATGATTGCCATTATGTGAATTCACATTATTTTTCATATCATGTCTAGGTCTGATTGATGGCTTTGAGGGAACTCACTCTCAGTTGAAAATAAAAGTTTCAGATTACATTGGTTTACTGACCGATGGTAAGTAAAACGTATAATGTATAGAGCTTGACTATTAGCAGAGTTTTATTTTGCTAGGATTCATTCGCCAAGCTAGTGTGTATACTGTTTAGACATTTAATTAGTTTCACTGGCCATATTTTTCTTTTTCTTCAGATACAGCCAAAGTGTACATGAAACTTCCAATGTTATCCCGTATCTTTAAAGATGATGTTGCTTATCCTCTTTTGGCTGCAATGAGGACAGGTAATGTGAGAAATTGTTTGATCATGATCTTTAGGAGGACCACAAAGACGATTGTACAACTCAAAATATCATTGTTGCTTTGCATCGTATGCAATATTGTAATAATGTATATATTAATTAATAACCCCTATCTGGTCAAGTCAATGGAAAATAACATACAGCTGGCAGGACACATTACACAAGTTTGTCTGTTATCTGGTAGTAACACGATTAATCAATAGATTTAGTTTTAGTTTACATCAATTGATACATGTACATATTGCAGTGCAGAAAATAGGAATGTGATTTGTCTACTCAGGAACACACAAAGCATCAAAAAACCCAGAGAGCTTTCGAGTTTAACTTCTTGTTTATTCCACCATTTTCAGTTACACCAACAGCACTACTTTTTACATATCAATAAACTCGGGTGATCAGGTGACATAACACCAATACAAAAGTATGTATTCCGACGCATGCAATAAAGTAGTCACAAGGAACTTTAGTATTTTTAGGGCTCACGATTTCAAGGCTAAAAATGTGTTTGACTGATTGAAACTGTGAAGGTGATATTTTATTCTTTTGAAGAACATCAAGGCAGACAGGGCATCTAAACAATAATTTCTGTGGTCTCTGTAAATTTCAAGTAAAAAAAAATTGCTTCGTTATGAACATTTCCCCTAAGGGTAATAACAATGCTATCAGATATTGACAAATAGACATTCCCTTTCTTAGATGCATTTAAAAAATATATATATATATTTAGTTATATGTATATTTAGTTTTAGGTCTATCCCCTCTGCATGGTATTCTAGCATTGGCTGCTGAACTTCAGGTAAGTTCTGCTGATAATACAATATAAGACAGTAGGTTTGTAACCAGTATTAAAGTCACACTCAGAACAATCTTATAGCTTTATTGGAATCTTGGTTGTATAAAATATAATTAATAGCATAAATAAGCATTAATTATTGGAACTAATTGAGAGATTGACTAGATGCATGGAGCCGGGAACAGCCACTGGTGGTGCTGTATACAATCAAAATTGTCAATGATTTAGGCTCACGTCTATGATCAGTGTAAAAAGCGGAGACACTTGTTAAATCATAGACAGCATATTTGGTGTCCACTTTAGTGTGATAGAAAGTGTGTACAGTCTTCAAATAGGCAGAGTGCAGGTCAAGACAGAATACACATGATTCCGGCGTTTCGTAATAAATGTTTTCTAATAATAATTGCGTTTTAAAATAATATTCATAATATATGTCTACATCATAACCTCAGGTCATTTTTCTGTATTTCTCAATGCATGTGTCATCACAGTGTGGTCAATTGTAATTTACGTTTTATGTGAGGTAACATTCAGCACCGTCAATGAGGTTTCATTGATGGTGTTGAACGTAGTTTGTATTATAATAATAATAATAATAATAATAATAATAATTTATTTACCTAGAAAATACACAAAATTGAATATGCAGTCTAGGTAAAATGGAATCTGAAATAGCTTAAAAGCTTGTCGAGTCAGAACCATAACTTGAATTTATCGACTTAGGTTTAGACTGACAGTAGGTTACACCTCAATATATTTCAAATACATAAATATGATAATATAATAATATATATATGTATATACATACATTTGTAATACATATTAGTTCTATTCTAAATACTCTGACATTAAATTTTCCCGTATAGTATTTTTGAATATAAGTTTTTGTTTAGACCTTAAAAAAATTGATATTCAACATTACCAGATATTTACAAAAGCT